GAAGGCTTGGGTTATCCTTTTACGATGTGCCAGATTGCACAGGTTCTTTAGACAGAGAGGCCCCAGCTCCCTTGGGGGTTTTATAGCTCGGAGCCCCCTGCTGTGCTCTGGCCTCCTGTGACACTTCCAACACACACACACCGACCAAATGTCACTGTGGCTCTCAGAGAGGGAGGGGGATGATCCAAGAGGGGAGAAGGATCTACAAGATGGAGGGTTTGGAGCAAAATGGTTGAACCGCATCCATCTCTGTGGGCATTATTGATACAGGGCAGACTGATCATTTGGGAACTTGGGCACTGCCCGAAGGGCCCAGGGTCCATAGGGGGCCCCATGAGATGCCCCTGGTACCTTTCATAGGCTTTTTTGGGTGTGGTTTGAGTGCGGGCAAGGACGCAGGGGCCCCATGATCCCCTATTGCCCGGGGGCCCCATGAGTTGTCAGTCCACCCCTGGTGGGAAGAGAATTAATCAGGTGCAAACACTTTCTCTGACCAAATGAATGACAGTGATAGGTGTGGCCTATGTTGTATAAAAAGTTGCAGTAGTGGGTGATTTTTGCCTTGGAAGAGGCCAGGTTATGTTCTGCAAGTCTGGTTTGGGGAGGAAGATATATTGTGGTGAATTGCCCCAGGCCACACTCACGCTGTGTTTTGATGTGGGCTGTAAATGTTTTGCATTTTTTTTCCTTCTTAAGGTGTGTTTGTATGTTATTGTACAATGATTGTGTGTTTATTATCTGTGCATTGTAATCCTAACACGTCAATCGCTCTGCTCTTCCAAATCTGCACTTGGCTATAGTTTGCTTATTTAGACTGAAATGCAGTTTTCAGACAAACCTGATGAGAAATGTATGTGTGGGGGATTTGGGGAGGTGGGAGGTGTTTTATTTTGGCATGTATTTTTATATTGATATTTTGATCTGCAGCCTGTTTTGTGGATAGATAAGCCTACTATGTGATTCATATTAACCGTTTGCTTCCTGCTGTAACCTGTGAAAGCACAGTTCATTAGAAGTATAATCTTTTAGATTGTAAGCTCTTATGAGCAGGACCGTTCTATTTTAGCAACATCAATCCTGCTTTTTTTTCCACCAAGAAATTGACTACCTACTTGTTGCTGCTGTCCAAATAAATGTGGAATATGTATTTGATCAATAAACGTTTGGACTATGTTTATTTTTGGGGGGTTATTATTTCATGTTCAAGTTCAATATACTAGCACCCCTAACCCATATTTTGCAAGCTATATAATATGCCCAAATCTAGCTTGTTAGAGTGCATATATGCAAGTATGTCCAAACTAACACACCAAAAGCCCCCTATTGCACCACAAGACCATGTTATGTACCAATGAATAGGTCGTGTTCAATGTGCAGCTATTCTTTTTCTACAATCCTCTTAACAGTAATAAATTAGGTCCCCAATTTATGTTGACTTTGGGCCTTTACTGGCAAATATATATTCGCCAATGTCATATACACAGTAGAGCTGCAAACATATATTCACCAATGTCATTTACACAGTAGAACCGCAAACATACATTCGCCAATGTCATATACACAGTAGAGGCGCAAACATACAGTTGTGTTCAAAATAATAGCAGTGTGTTGATAAAAGTGAATAAAGCTCAAAATCCTTCTAATAGCTTTTTTTTCCATACACACAAATGCATTGGGAACACTACACATTCTATTCCAAATCAAAACATGAAGAAAAATATATCAAATTTGTGTTGTTCCTCTAAAAATATTGAAGAAAAGTGAATATTAGACTGTTCAAAAAAATAGCAGTGTTTGTATTCTTCTTTACAAACTCAAATATTCACTATATAAACTGAAAAATGTTTGAAGATTTTGCTTTCTTTTGAATCACTTAATTTCTAATTAGTTGTATAACCACTGTTTCTGAGAACTGCTGTACATCTGTGTTGCATGGAGTCAACCAACTTCTGGCACCTGTGAATAGGTATTCCAGCCCAGGATGCTTGGACTACATTCCACAGTTCTCTATTTCTTGGTTTTGCCTCAGAAACTGCATTTTTGATGTCACCCCACAAGTTTTCTATTAAGATCCGGGGATTGGGCAGGCCACTCCATAACGTCAATCTTGTTGGTCTGGAACCAAGATGTTGCACGTTTACTGGTGTGTTTGGGGTTGTTGTCTTGTTGGAACACCCATTTCAAGGCATTTCCTCTTCAGCATAAGGCAGCATGACCTCTTCAAGTATTCTGATGTATTCAAACTGATCCATGATCCCTGGTATGCGATAAATAGGCCCAACACCGTAGTATGAGAAACATCCCCATATCATGATGCTTGCACCGCCATGCTTCACTGTCTTCACAGTGTACTGTGGCTTGAATTCAGTGTTTGGGGGTCATCTGACAAACTGTCTCCGGCCACTAGACCCAAAAAGAACAATCTTACTTTCATCAGTCCACAAAACGTTGCGCCATTTCTCTTTAGGCCAGTCAATGTGCTCTTTGGCAAATTGTAACCTCTTCAGCACATGTCTTTTTTTCAACAGTGGGACTTTGCAGGGGCTTCTTGCAGATAGCTTGGCTTCACATAGGCGTCTTCTAATTGTAACAGTACTCACAGGTAAGTTTAGACCTTTGATCTTCCTGGAGCTGATTGTTGGGTGAGTCCTTGCCATTTTGGCTATTCTTCTATCCATTCGAATGGTAGTTTTTTCGCTTTCTTCCACGTCTTTCAGGTTTTGGTTGCCATTTTAAAGCATTTGCGATCATTTTAGCTGAGCAGCCTATCATTTTCGGCACTTCTTTATATGTTTTCACCTCTCCAATCAACTTTTTAATCAAGGTACGCTGTTCTTCTGAACAATGTCAGGAACGACCCATTTTCCTCAGAATTTCAGAGAGAAATGCACTGTAAGCAGCATGTACAACATTTGCTGCCTTCCTTCCTTAAATAAGGGCAATAATTGCCACCTGTTTTTCAAAGAATGAATGACCTTAGTAATAGAACTCCACACTGCTATTATTTTGAACATGCCCCTTTCAATTAGTGATTCAATTACACCGAATCAGCAGCATGCATGTCATGACTGTTGGGTCTGTTGGATTTCTATTACTCTACTACACCTGCTAATAAATTATTTGCCATGTAGAAATATCATTTCTACCAAAAACAGTGATTGATCAGGTTAGTGATGTCTGACTGCTATTATTTTGAACACAACTGTACATTCACCAATGTCATATACACAGTAGAGCTGCAAACAAACATTCACCAATGTCATATACACAGTAGAGATGCAAACACATATTCACCAATGCCAAATACACAGTAGAGCTGCAAACATATATTCACCAATGTCATATACACAGTAGAGCTGCAAACATATATTCACGAATGCCAAATCCACAATAGAACTGCAAACAAATTATTTGCGAATGTCATATACAGAATGGAGCAGCGTGGAAAATTGCTGTGGTGCACAAATAAACGCCAAGACGGCTGTTGAAGGAGGCGCTAGAGCAGCTGTCATACTGGAAATATGTCATGACGTTTGCGGAAGGACGTTTGCACACACCCGGAAGTGGTAGTGGGGAGTGTTAGTGGATGGGAGTGTAGTTAGGAGAGTTTAGTGGTAATTTGCAAGTCTATTTTTTAGCTTTGTGAATTGTTCTTTTGTGGAATTCCAGACCACATCTGGACATGGCTATCCAATAGCCAAAAACCCTTTGACTAAGAGCTGTCGCTCGAAACGCGTCAGGGTCAGGCTTAAGCTGTTCGACGCTACCACCCGCCGGCACCACGAGGGGTCCCGGCGGCAACTATATACTGGGTCAGTATCTTTATTCTACTTACTCCATACCTTGTACCCTTTGTCTGTATGTGGGAATAAATGTACCCATAGACATACTGCACTATTGGCCTCCTTTGCTTTTTTCTGAGCTCCTGTGGGAGCCAGGTTTATTCGGAGAGTGATGATCATTTAAGGAGAAGGCTGATCGCAAGGTTCTGGAGAAAGAAGGGGACCTGACCAGATCTGACCAGACCCTAGTTGAATGATTGGAGGTCCTTATGTTATAGAAAAGCGCACAAAGGTTGCGCATCTGGTGAGTGCGCAATTTGTACCCCCATTGTTTCACCGTGCACACAGTCGGTGTCGTCTGGAGAGCTATAGATTGTTTGAGACTTGGTTCACATCCTCACGCTGAACTTACCTTTGTATGTAACAATCCTTCCTCACGTCCTATTAGCCACAGTATAGTGGCGTATATCTGTATGCACGAAGACACCTTATATTTCATGAATTTGTACATGTATATATACTTTCATCTAATTTTGTATTAGCGCTGCACTTTTTATATACTATTGTCTGTTGGAAGATTAAAACCTGTGTTCATACAGCAACCCACTCATTCATGCTGTACAGGACAGAGGACCTGTGTGAATGGGGCATTTTTTACTTTTTTTTCCTCAGCTCATTACCGTATTTTTCGCACCATAAGACGCACTTTTTTTCCCCCCCAAAAAGGGGGGAAAATGTCAGTGCGTCTTATGGAGCGAATATAAAGCGGCCGGTCCGGTATTTTTGCACCACCATGTCAGAATACCGGGCCGGCCGCTCAGCTGTTGTCTCCTGCAGGGCCTTACCTGTTCCTCGCTCCAGCGCTGCACAGTCTTCCCGCGCTGGCTTCTGTGACAGCCGGGTGCCCACTGCGCATGTGCTGCGCTTTGTGAATGATCCGGTGTCTTCTGGGACACATGAAGGGTCCCAGAAGGCGCCGGGCCATTCACAAAGCGAAGTGCTTCTCGCACCTGCGCAGTGGGCACCCGGCTGTCACAGAAGCCGGCCCGGGAAGAAGAGGAAAGGCAACTCCGCGGAAGTGGGAGCGGGTACCTGTCAAATTCAGGTAACCGCTCCCCCTCCCTTCCCAAAGGTCAGCAGTCTCTGGTCATCCCCTGCACTGTCTGCAGTCTCTGGACATTCCCTGTACTGTCTGCAGTCTCTGGTCATTCCCTGCACTGTCCGCAGTCTCTGGTCATTCAATGCACTGTGTCCGCAGTCTCTGGTCATTCCCTGCACTGTCCGCAGTCTCTGGTCATTCCCTGCACTGTGTCCGCAGTCTCTGGTCATCCCCTGCACTGTCTGCAGTCTCTGGTCATTCCCTGCACTGTCCGCAGTCTCTGGTCATTCCCTGCACTGTGTCCGCAGTCTCTGGTTTCCCTGCACTGTCCGCAGTCTCTGGTCATTCCCTGCACTGTCCGCAGTCTCTGGTCATTCCCTGCACTGTCCGCAGTCTCTGGTCATTCCCTGTACTGTGTCCGCAGTCTCTGGTCATCTCCTGCACTGTGTCCGCAGTCTCTGGTCATCTCCTGCACTGTGTCCGCAGTCTCTGGTCATCTCCTGTACTGTGTCCGCAGTCTCTGGTCATCTCCTGCACTGTGTCCGCAGTCTCTGGTCATTCCCTGTACTGTGTCCGCAGTCTCTGGTCATCTGCACTATGTCCGCAGTCTCTGGTCATCTCCTGTACTATGTCCGCAGTCTCTGGTCATCTCCTGCACTGTGTCCGCAGTCTCTGGTCATCTCCTGCACTGTTTCTGCAGTCTCTGGTCATCTCCTGTACTGTGTCCGCAGTCTCTGGTCATCTCCTGTACTGTGTCCGCAGTCTCTGGTCATCTCCTGTACTGTTTCTGCAGTCTCTGGTCATCTCCTGTACTGTGTCCGCAGTCTCTGGTCATCTCCTGTACTGTGTCTGCAGTCTCTGGTCATCTCCTGCACTATTTCTGCAGTCTCTGGTCATCTACTGTACTGTGTCCGCAGTCTCTGGTCATCTCCTGTACTGTGTCCGCAGTCTCTGGTCATCTCCTGTACTGTGTGCGCAGTCTCTGGTCATCTCCTGTACTGTGTCCGCAGTCTCTGGTCATCCCCTGTACTGTGTCTGCAGTCCATTGGTTCAGAATATTTTTTTTTTTTGTTTTTCACCTCTAAAACCTAGGTGCGTCTTATGGTCAGGTGCGTCTTATGGAGCGAAAAATACGGTAATTTCAATGGGCTGCCTAACATGTGGGAACATGCAAAAATACAGGCATATTATTTTAAAAGTGTGTTGCACCTAACAGCACAGTAGTGTGGTGCCATGTGGTGTGGTGGCTGTGAATGCGTCTGTGTTTACTAGACGTGTGAAGGTGTAATTAAGTTTTCATCATGGTACCTGCGCACATCTGCAGAGGGCATTGCATTTCTTTGCTGTGCTGGAAAAAACATGCTCTTGCATGCGTTTCTGCACCACAAATTGTGTGAACAAGTTCTAAGGGCCAGTTCACACTATGGAAACACAGTCTAGATGTGTTCCAGATGCATTTTTGCATGCACTTTTTTGATGCATGTTTAGCGTGTTCCAGAGCATTTTGGATGTGTTTTTGATGTGTTCCACTGCATTTTGGATGCGTTTTTTGTGTGTTCCAGTGCATTTTGGATGTGTTTTTTTGTGTGTTCCAGTGCATTTTGGATGCGTTTATGGTGTGTTCCAGTGCATTTTGGATGCGTTTTTGATGTGTTCCGCTGCATTTTGGATGCATTGTTTGTGTGTTCCAGTGCATTATGGATGCGTTTTTGGTGTGTTCCAGTGCATTTTGGATGCGTTTTTGACGTGTTCCAGTGCATTTTTTTATGCATTCCAGTTAATTTTTCCCCCCTCACTTTTTCTTAAATTTAATTAGGGACATGTGCGTTTTAGTGCATTCCAGGGCGTTTTACCGCATTCCAGTACAGTTCTATGCATAAGCAATGCAGCCTGTTTGACTTTTTTGGCAGCACCTGCAACGCACTGGAACTGCAAGCACTGATGTGAGCTATGACATTGACAACCATATAACCTTCTTTTTGTGCATTTTGGATGCAAAAAAAGCAAATGAAACACATGTAGTGTGAACTGGCCCTAAAGGCTATTATAGGTAAGGGAACTGGACTGACCAGGAATTCTGAATTCAATCAGACTAGTGGTGAGATACAATCAGGATTCATATAATATTGCGAGATCTGAGCTGGAGGTGAAAGGAAATGAGACACATTAACTAGATCAGAAAATAAATAATTAAATAGAAAGAGTGGGGCAGTGATCCATAAATTTGCAGATGGAACAGGTGATGACAGGGGGGGTGCGGGAGGGAACAGGTGATGACAGGGGGGGTCAAGTTGTATAAGGAGAGAGGTTTAAGAAGAGCTCGTTCACACTTCACTTTATTTCTAACTCTTGCCAAATGGCCCTATAGCATTTGACAGGTGTTTGGGAAGCATTTTTAACGCTCCTCAAACGCCCTATGTACTGTTTTGAGGCATGTGATAAGCATTTCCCAAGCGTTAAAACTGTACCACAAATGCCTGTAATGAAGTAAAATGGTATTAACGCTCTGAAAATGCCTCGCAACCACACTGCAAACGTCTGCCAGGCATTTGAGGAGCAGCACCATAGACTTGAATGGCAGGCTTCAACTCCTCCTGACTCGACATGAGGAGCCAGTTTTGCCGTGACGCAATGCTAACGCTTCAGTGTGAACAGCACTGTGTGCTGCCATGTGCAGAATTTTCATAGGCATTTGAGAAGCGTAAAAACCGCTTCCCAAATGCCTGTCTGACGCCTGCTGACAAAGCTAGTTTGAACGTAGCCTTAGAGAAGATAAATAAAGTTGTAATGAAATATAAACAGAAGGAAAATTGAAAGTAGTTTTAAACTTGTCAGAAGAACAGGACGCAGGTAAGATTCACTCCCTTTCCACTTTCTAGTCAGTAGCCAAAATCTTAGATGATTGATCAATATTCCTGGCACTGACAGAACCCTGGAAATTGATCTCCATATTTTGGGCATTCACAAATGTCAAGGAGCTTACAATCTAAGACCAGAAACTCAGACATATACTAGGCCCAATTAACCTAACAGCATGTCTTTTGGAGTGTTAGCAGAAACACATCCGTGCAGAGAAAGGATGCAGACAGGTGCAGCCATCACTGGGATTAGAACCCATGACCCAAGTGATGTAAATTCTGAGTTCTAACCACTATGCTACTATAGGAGACAGAGTTTGAGCTGCAATGTAGAATAGTTACATTGTTTAAAAATAATGATAAAGCAAGCGCTGGTAAAGTTATATAGACTACTAAAATGGTATTACACAAGATAAATATAAATGTAGGTATCAGGGGCGGACTGACCATTTGGAAACTCAGGCACTGCCTGAGGACCCGGAGTCAGTAGGGGGCCCCATGAGATGCCCCTGGTACCTTTTTCATAGGCTTTTTTGAGTTTGGGCAAGGAAACAGGCCCCATGAGTTGTCAGTCCGCACCTGGTAGGTATAGATATGAAGGTAGCAGCTAGCACTGAGGGTATTGGCAACAGTCCCAGAATAGAAATATGTTAAATAAATAGTGCAGCGCTATAAATGCATGTTATCAATCATAAACGCATTTAAAATAAAAAAAGTGAGTGTATTTTTAACTTTTTAATAAATTTGTTTATACTGGATCACACTATGTGGAGCGTTTTCTGTCTTCTATGTTTGAGTTCCTAGAGGAATTGAAGACCAGTTTAACAGGGACTGCTGACCAGTGCTGCATCCTCTGCTACCATAAAGTGTTTGAGTGCATTGAGCCTATCAGTAATTAGAGGCAATAATTATCAATGAGTGCAGTGGCAAGAGGGGAGTGCGTTTTACCTAAAGCACAATGGTGGTGTGAACCTTTCAAGGGATTCAGAAGCTAAAGTTTATGGACTTTTGATAAAAGGGATTTTTTGCCTTAATGTAAGGAATGCCAGGTAAAAAATGTATTGACTTTAGAATCACTTTATAATTATAAGGATTCATACTTTATAATTATACAGAAAAAGGCATAAATATTGTACAAATTCCATACACACTATGGGGTTGATTTACTAAAGGCAAATAGGCTGTGTACTGTAAGTGCACCCCAAGTGCACCTTTAAGTGCACCTTAAGTGCACTGAAAGTGCAGTTGCTCTAGATGTGAGGAGAACATGCAAGGAAATAAAAAAACAGCATTTTTGGACATGATTGGATGAAAGAAATCAGCAGAGCTTCACCTCATTTCAGAGCTTCCCTCGGATATACTTGCGGTGCACCTGCAGTGCACAGTATATTTACCATTAGTAAGTCAACCCTTATGTAAGTAGTTTATGCAGGCCATATTTTAGGAAGGAGAAACAAGGCAGCTTTGCAATCGTGAAATCAAAATTAAACCATATTATTTTACAGAAAAAAAGAAATATTGTACAAACTCTACACACACTTTGTAAACAGCTTCACTAGGTTGCAATTTAAGAGAGACAGTAATGTTTTATTGTTAAATATAAAATAAAGCACTGGACCCTAAGTGCTCTGCACTCATGATGTATGTGCAGACACAGCCATCATCGCACCTCCTTTCAGTGAACTGAGGATTGGAGGCATGTTGGGGATGATGAGGGCTACTGCCACTATTTGGAAATGCAACCAAAAGGTTCATCTGCAGCACCCCTGCCTCTCCCATTAGGCCTACTTGAGATTAGGAATACTGGGGATTATCAAACGTTATAAGTAGCTAGGGCAATTGAGGATGTTGTGGTGCACTTTGGTGCACTTAAGAATATGGTGATTAATGCACTAAACTGTACCACACAAGTAGGCAGTGATGAGCTGAAAGCCAAGGGCAGCTTTGCCTGTGCTAGGAACAAGTTCACAAAACTGACCCCAAAATAAAAAAAGGCAATTGCAAAAATATAAACACTAAACTCCCTCCATAAAACACTAAACCACAACCCTTTTTGTGTTTTTTTTTTTTTTCAAACCTAACTGAAAGTAGTTGGAAAACAAAAAGTGGAAATACTGCACACTGGAATATATATAGAGAGTAAAAATAGGGCTTCAGTCTGAACTCCTCCTGGCTTTGCTCCTCTGACATGTTTCACCTCCTATGGGTCCATCCCCATAAAAGAAAACAATACAGCAGTGTGCATACACTGTACAGCGTATATCCCTCCCTGAAAACACTATCAGTTATCCTTGCCCATTCCAAGTCTCCAACACACAATGACTGTGTATAGCACTGTATATAGAATGGTTCCCAGCATTGTATAGTATAGTAGTTTTTTTCTCAAGCCGTGAGCAGCTTAGAACCTGAACCCAAAGCTCATTCCCAACTGGAATAAAGGAAGGAGCTAGATGCACAGATGGACAATTATCTCTTCTTCAATGATACTTTATTTCTTATCACTTAGGTACAGTATATTTTGCTGCAGGAACCTTCAGTGCACAAAAATGTATAGTATTTATCAATTAAAAATATTAATATTATTTTTTTATTCATTTGTGTGTGTGGGGGGGGTTATGCTAGGTGGGAGCATTGGGGGGTAAAAGAAGAGACTTTTTGTTAGAAGGCGGGGTTTGGTTAGGGGGATCTGGCAGAATTAAGATGATTTGTGCTAGAAGGTGGAGTTTGGGGAAGTTATGCTGGAAGAGAGGATGGGGGGGGAATTGTACTAGAAGGGGGATTT